GACTCCCAAAAGCCTTCCTCCAATGGAGAAGCAAGCTCCCTAGGCCACCACAAAACCTTCCAATGTTGGCTTCCTTTGTAACTTGGCCTTCCACACCTTCAAGAAGCACCCAACACAACTTAAGTTGTTGGAATATTAATGCTAAAATTGAAAAGGAACAATTAGGAGAAGCTACACCAAATGGTGGAAAGAGATGAGACAAGACTAGAAATAATTTCAATAAAATGACGAGCAACAATTAAGGCACCAAAGAAAGGCTAGCACACAAAGGGAAACCTATCAATGACACTAGAGTAGATTACAAAATAAAATCTAAGATTTCAAAATAAAGTAAGACTCACAAACAAGTGATATGTGGTTGGACAGATTTCAATACAAGAAACACAAATTAAAAACCGAGCACAAATCACATAAAATTTTTTACTCCTTGGCTTTTTCTTGTACTCTTTCTTTGTGATTCTTTTTGTAACTTCTTTTGCACTTTTTATTTTCCTTTTTTACAGGAGTTTAATTCCTTTTAAACATGTATAAGTCTCAGATTTAATGCAATAAAACTGATGCCAAAATTTTTCCACAGAATAAGAGGTATACAAGTGAATTTGTTTTTCTAGTGCTCACACTTTTGTACAAATTTTTAGGTCAAATTTTCAAGCACTCTTTTCTTTTTGTTTTTATAATGTATTAAGTACACTTATACCTCTGTTTTGCCTCTGTTTTGATGACTTAAAAGGTGATACAAGTTTCAGCCACAACACAAAAATTCAAGGAAACCTAATAGGAAAGTGTTTAGAAAATTTTCTTGACAAACTTTATAATGAGACATAATAGAAACCTAACTCTAAGACATTTGCTAGAACTAATAGAAAATTAGGAACTTAAACATGTAAAGCAAAAGCACATATAGGTCACCACAAGATTATAAAGCAAAAACCGAATCAATGTAGACACCAAAACAATACAAAAAATTAAGGTTCAACAAGCTAGTCTAGGATTTAATGACATGTAAAAGGACTACACATGACTCTAGACAAAACATAGGATTCAAAAACAAAAAACACATGTTATTAATTGTCAATGTCCAATCATGGACTCATGTTAAAGAATAGGCAAGACTCAAGCAAAAATAAAAAACACAAGCACAAGAACCTAAAGGCACCAAAATCGGATTGATTCAAGAATAAAGGAAAAAAGTAACAAAATGAATCAATCAATTCTCATGTGACATGTGGATCCATCAAAATGTGAACAAGAACTAGATCCATTCAACAAACATGTTTATGACATAAAAGGAAGAAGAGACAACACAAATTTAGAACAAGAATTAGAGACACATAACCTCAAGAGCACCAAGGCTCTAGATATATGGAAGTGAGTAGAAGTGGTAGATGTTCTTCTTCACTCTCCACCTTTAATCCCTTTCTTCTCTTGAGGTTGACACGCCAATGAAGAGAGAAACACCTTGAAGAAGCTTCAATGGTGGAGAAGTAACAAGGAGGTTCGGTAGCTTCTTCAAGAAGCTAGAAGATTGAGGCACCAAGGCACAAAGGTTGGAAACCTTTATGAAAGAACCTAGGGGAGAAAGTTCTCCACGAAATTCTAAGGCTTTGGAAGAGAGAATTTGAGAGAAAATTCTGATTACTATTCATCCAAAGTGAGGGAAAATGGAAGGTTTACAAATTTATAAAAATAGGTAGCTTATGGAGCAAGCTAACCTTAACCATGGTTCAAGAGAACCATGGTTTGGTTGCTTGACCAACCTCCCTAGTTAGGATAACTTGTGGAGCAAGCTTCTACCTTAGCTTGCTTGGGAAGCAAGCTAAGTTAGAAGCTTGTAGCACAAGCTTCCTAAGGCTTCAAGAGAAGAGAAGCAATTCTGGCCAACAAGAGGGCTAGGCGGCCTTGGCTTGCTTTTGCTCACTTTAATTATTTCAAAATTTGTTGATTTGGTTTAGTTAGGTCCATCCAATGATGGTGAGACCTAGCTGAATCAAATCCTTGAAAAATTAGGAGCAAAACAAGTTCAATATGTAAAATTTGGCCTAGGCCCAATTTTGGCCCAATTACTAGTCACACCCTCAAGCATTGCTAATTGCCACCCCACTTCTACTACTGAAAAAATAGAAAAAGAGTGACCTTCAATACAAGGTTAAATGGAGTCAAAGTCTCCAAGTAACCTACCCTAGAAACAATATAGAATGGTTTATAAAATGAAATAAAGTGTCTCACAAATACAAAGGCAAAAAGTAAACCTATACAAAGAAACTACTATATTTACAAACAAAGGAAAAGGTCTTCAAAATCATCTCATTCCTCTTGGTTCCTTTAATGTATCACCTCTTGGATTCCTTGGCCTTGGCATATTTCCATCATCCCCTCCCTCTGTCATTTCACTAATTTGATATTATCATGTTAACGAATTTTGACTATATACATGGAACATACATTATGATAATGTCATTTTTGTGAGTATAAGAATGATCATTTCAAACCCTTAAATTAAAAGTTTATTAATATCCCTACCATTATTGTTACCATTATAATTCCAATATGTCATCACCACATTGCACCTAAAAGTATCCTCACGAAAAATCATGAGAGATTTATTAAGGATTTGCAATGTTCTTAGAAATGCTAATGGAAAATAATTATTTAAAATTATATATATAAAGACATGATTAACAAGGGATTTATTAAGGATTTGAAAGGAATTTTTCTCCTATATTTGTGAAGACTTTGTGATGGATTTGCAAGGAGCTCAATATTCTATTTATGTGAAACTTGTTCCCTAATATTTTGTGAAGGATTGGCATTGGCCAGCTTTGTGGGTGAAATATTCATAGCTTGTTTGTGACGATATAACTCCCTCACTAGAAGAAAGTTCATTTTTAACGTTAATTAATAATTTTGCAAGGGCTTTGTGAGGAATTTGCTAGTGTTTAGATTATTAGGCAACCAGAAACAGCACATAGAGATTGTACCATCAAGTAGCCGAACATACTACAACTCAATATCCGAACTCTTAGGTAGCCAAGTACTTGAGAGTTAAGGAACAAAAAACAATTACAAAAAGGTTCAAACGAACATTTGAATGGCTAGATGACCAAAGACCCTCTTGATGACTTAGTCGAACTAAAAAGATAAAAATTAAAGTAATCATGATCCCCCAACACCCCTAACCATCATTAATTAAGATCATATTACTTAATTGGCTATTATTGGAGATTAAGGTCCACAAATTCAAAGTCTATCAAAATATGTACTCTTCATCTAGTCATTATTAACATTTATTGTTTTAGGTTAAGCCTTGACTTGAGCATATCAAAATACTTTTTGTGACCCCTCGAAGAATTTGGTAATATAGTATTTGTGAAGAAGACTTGGAAGTGAAGAGTACAACGGTAGAAGTTACCCTTGTATACTGATTTCCCATTCAGGTACAAATTTTGAAGCAAATACCACGAGGAGGATGTTCAAAAGTTCAATGATAAATTGATTTGATCTCAATCAATCGCGGCAATTACTAATGAACCAAAACCATTGTCTCTTCAATTCAATCCAAACACGCTATACACGCAATGTGATTTTGTCTTTGTCATATTCTGTGGCTAGATCTAGGGTTTGTCATTTTTTTACTTTTGTCCATATATTTGATATTTTTTCTCCTCTCTTGCATGAGCAAATGTGGCAAAGCTTGTGAATACCTCACATATCAGGCCGTGAATTTTGCATATTTATAATTTGTTATTTCTGAAGTTTCTTTGTCATGCATGGGATGTTCCACCGAACACAAAATGGACGTGGTACCATACTTCACCATGCGTACAATGTTGGTCAAGTCCAAGACATACCTAGTGGTATAGGGACATTCCAATTATAAGGTTGTGTTAGTCAATAATATTATTTGTCAAGGTTTTCGGTCTGTCATATATATATATATATATATATATAAATATATAAGGGGTTATAATTACACCGGTGTAATTTTTACTAAGTATTATACCATTCAATAAATTTATATTAATTGTGAATTTTTTAAATCCAACCGTTAAATTGAAAGTTCATATCACTTTATACATGTATATCAAATTTTGTTAAAATTGAACAATAACTTGAAGATAATCAAAGTGTTCATATTTTAGTATATTTTGAAATGAATATATTACATCAATTTTGTTTTATAAAAATGAAATATCAAATCATCTTGGATTAATATAAAATTATGTATATATGATCTAAGAGATATATGAACTTTCATTCTAACGGCTAGATTTACAAAATTCACATTAAATATAAGATTATTGAGCGATGTAATACTTTTACTAAGTTATGCCAGTGTAATTATAATCCCCTCATATATATATATATATATATTAAGATTCATTTTAATAATTTTATTATTTATAATAATAAAATATAAATTAATTATTTTAATATTTTATTAACAAACATAAATATGAGCAATATTTTCTTAAATTAAATGAACTTAATTTAAGCCAAATCAATTTTACATTTTAATAATTCAATTTCCGATCTACATTATCCATTTACATCTATTTTTATTTTAGAAATAAAGGAAGTGGTTTTATTTATTAATTCTTTAATTAATATGCTAAGATAACTAATTAATACCTAAATATTACAGTAATATTTTCTCAGGCAAATACCTTGCCACGGTAAGAACAATAAATAAATGGCTTTGATATATTCCCAAAAGTTTGAAATTGATATTGATAGTGATAAATTACAAAATTACAAAATGCAAGAAAAATTGAAAGGTGGAAAGAAAATGAAGATTAAAATACCCGCCAAACCCCGTTTCTCGCTCGCTCATACTCTCGCGCGTGTCGCAATTCCGTTCCCCACTTCAAATGCTGCTTTCAAGCAACCACCCAATTTTATTTTATTTTTTAACAATTTTTTTAAAAATATTAATTAATAATAAAAAAAATCGAAATTAAATATTGACCTCATTCTTCTTCTTCTTCACCTCTTATACTTGCCACCAACCAAACCAAATACTTTAATACTATTAATTAAACGTTTCCTTCAACTTCTTCTTCTTTATTATATTTGTGCTTTCCGTAAATATCACGAAATTCGATTTCCCCCAATTTCTAGGGTTTCTGTGAAACCCTATCTCGTTGCGATTATTCCTCCAAACTTTGCCTTGTTTAAGGTCTGCTTACTTTCCCGATTCTCCTGTTTAGTTTTTGTCCTCTTTGCTCAAGGGAATTCGGTGAACGAAACGAAATTGTCCGTAAAAGAAAATTTAGTGTCTGATTATGGTCGATTGATCTTAACGGATTTTGAATTTTTTTTTTTTTTTTGTTTATTCGTTCAATTCGACTGCTGTTCGTGTAATTTTGTTTGTTTGTGGAGCTTGGTTTGAAGTTTTAGTGTTCAATATTTTAAGTTGAGTTTTACATTTTTTGTTGCTGGTTGGATAGTAGAAATACTGCTATCACGTGCTTGAGAATCAATTGGGATTAGCTGGATGGGAAGTGAAATTGAGGTTTGTTATTGATATTTTAAACCAAAGGAATTGATTGCAGTTTAAGAAATTGAAACAATAGTGTAGTTTCATGGTGTCAAAGCAGACAATGCCTATGTTTGATTGATCTCAACATGTTTTATTAAAGATTTTATTGTCGGACTGAGGTACAGTGCAGCATTTGGCTTTGTTGAGCTCATGCATCTGCGCATTATATGGTTGTTAGTGGGGTTAAGAACTCTCTTTTAGTAGCAGTGGCACCATTACATTAGCTGAAATATTACTTTGAAGGCACCGTCATGGTTGAAAGGGTGATATGTTGCCCAAGTCTCGATGACTTAAGGAGATTTTTTTTTTTTTTTTTTTTTTTTTTTTTTTTTTATATCGTTTTTTGGTGG